TGCACCAAAAACCCTTGAACTGCAATTTTACCACTACCGGTCAGTACCTTTAAGGCCATAAAATTAATATTGTTTTTTTACAAAGCCAAACTTGACCCTTAGAGACACAACTTTCTCAGCAAATTTTGCTGAATGAATATTGTATTTTCTAACCACGAGATGAAACAAGCTCACCGGACAAAGAAAACAAAAATCCCTATTTTACTCTCATGGGAAAGCTGCGTGTTAGTAATCACTTTAATTATCATCGCCAGGAGACAAGCAATCAGTGATAGTATTTTATACCAAAGAGAAATTAAAAAAGTATGTGTAAGGATTACCCAAGGAAGACCAATTTGAAAATACAACGAAAAGTAATTTGTGAATCCTTAAAAATGTACAAGTCAAGTATCTTTAATGGATGCTCATTATACTGTAGGGCTCATTAAAGGATTTCCCCCGTATAAGAACCCTTACATCACTCATAATTGTAAATCTGAAAATGTACTACCATTGTAAGGACATGCAGTTTATCCTTGCTATTGCATGCTCTAATCATGATGATACAATAATATTGCCCTTGTACACTGATATCACATCATTAAAACAACAATTATGATATAGTGGCCTTCTTTCCTAAGGCTTTCCCAGTCCCAAGCCATTGCATATCATGTAGTCTTTCAGTAAAATCTGTACAGACTCAAAGATATACTTATAGGTCTTATAATATAAGGATGTGCTGGAATCATTAAAGGATCCTGTAAAATACATGTACAAATGCTACATTATAATATTCCAGGGGCCGTTAAACCAACATGTGCTAAATGCTAAAACAAAGACATTGATTGAGATTGAAAATAAATAGAGGCCCCAAAAAATATTTCCTTGGCCAAATTTCTTCTTCGATTGTGCCTGGTAAAGTGGACAAGATTACTAGACTGTGTGCCAGTCTGAGCTGAAAGCACTACTATTACTATCAAATCAAGAACTAGAACCCACATGATTTCCAAACATAGGTTTCTTCCTCAAAACTTGTAGAGCAAATATTTAGCTTTTCTTTAGCACCCATAGTCTGCCATACCAGAGTTATGAGTAATTATACCAACTCTTTCAAGTTTTTTTTTTCTTTCTTTTGTGTGCACAATTTCTATCCCTAACACAACACGGCACTTCAAACCCTGTCTACGATACAAAGAAGACATGCGTGCCAAACCAAAAATCGTTAATTACCCTCAGGACCGGATTGTTCAACGACATGCAAAATCATAATCAGTCGTGTGAAATACTTCGGAAATTGCGAAGTGAGGTGCTCCCGGCCGCCGCAGACCCGGCCGCCACCTCGAGATCCGGAGCGTGGTTTGACTTTTAAGGAGCCAGGGCCGGCTTCGATTCTTTCCTCCAACTTGTTCTCTGCTAAGCTTTTGAATGGTTTGAAATTGTATTGCAACAATGATTTTTTTTTATGTTAAAGCAAAATTGCTCAAGGGTTTGAACTTTGAATTCTAAAAACTAACATGCAAAGGACAAGAGACTTTTCTGCCTGTTATTCTGATGTGCTCAACTTCTCTTCCACACGAAATAAGGTCTTTATCCTCTGTCTCTCTGTCTGTCTCTCTCTCTCTCTCTCTCTCTCTCTCTCTTTCTCTCTGTATGTCTCTAAGTGTGTGTGTGTCTCTCTCTGTCTGTCTCTCTTTTTCTGTCATTTACATTTTGTTTTATAGCCATTTATTTTATTCTGATTTTGCTCCCCATGCATGTTCATCATTCATTCTGACTATCTACTTCAAGCAAGCGTATAACCTCTTCTTCATCCCGTTCAGGTAATTACTAATTGTCTCATTGTAAACAATTGTTATCGACAAATGCCCTTTTTCAATCAATGAAATAAATCATTTAGAACAATTTTATTAAAGGCAAAGACCAGTTATGGTCATGCGATTGCATTGTGAAAGAAACGTTGTGGAATCGATCAGAAAAGGTTGATCATCTAGCATCTAGCATCTGCAAGGTTCTGGAATCATCAAAATGATAAGAAATTTGGCCCATTCTTCGTAAAGTTACAAGCACTATACACAGAAAGATGTATATGGGACTACCCTATATCTCTCACAGACCATGAGTGAAACAAATTTACCAAATATATGAATTAGTAGGCGGTTTCCCGGCAAATTTTTTATCATCATGTATTAGTCAAAACATATTCTTTCACATGATTGGTAATGAGAGCTTCCATTTCATTTTTCAAAATTGGGGCGTTTCCAATACTGGTCTTTACCTTTAAGATGTCCAGAAGAGTTCTTGCATAACACCCACCCCTTCAAAATTTCCTAGATGATGAGCTGACAAAATTACCCTCTTAACATAAATTACAGATGTTCACACTTAGGAGTGACTGCCAAATGGAAATGTTTACCTTTTCTCTATTAATCTACATGTTAAGTACCTCCTTACAATGGCAACTCTAGATAGCCCATTATGCAAACATTTCACACTTTTCTGAAAGCTGGCCTGCAATATCTAATTATACCCATACATGCTTTGTTTTGTTTTTGTTCATGAAAACTGAAAAGTGTCAAAAGTCTGCAAATAATGAATTAAAAAAAGGGAAAGAGAAAGTGAGTACCTGTGGAGGAAATGAGCTCTTGGTTTTAATAGTGAAAGCAAACACAATCTACTCATGAAGCAATTAACATTTTGCTAACAAACATGCATAAACTCCTGGCTAGTTTGTGCCCTGCATGCACAGACAATGTACCTTGGTGACTGAATCCATCCTGTTATACATGTACAGTAAGTATTCATTCACTCAGAACTTTAAAAAGACTTGATTACAATAGAATATACATCAAACCGGTACCTTATCACCAAAAAGAATGTATCCCCCCCCCCCCCCAAAAAAAAAAAATGAGTTTGATGTACATGTTACCGATAATACTGTTTTCTTGTAAAGCACTTCACTGACTAAAGCATTGTTATTTTACCCAGGTCACTGGATTTAATGTACATCAAAGTGTACATTCTCTACTCCCTGGGGAGTATTCCAGCTAGTCGCCTTATAAGGGAGTGCACATGCTAATCTAAAGGAATATACATAGTAGATCTTCATGTTTTTTGTTCTGATTCTTGTAATGTTTACATCCATACTAGAGCTTGAAATAAAAAATATTCAGAATGTTTCCATTTCAAATTTTGACCTTCTTCAAACCTTTGACCACAGAATCTCAATAGGCCTGTCTCCACTATCTCGAGATTGCCAAATATCCAGCTACTTAAACTATCCCGATCGCAAACTATCCAGCTAATTTGCGTCTTCATCAGACCGAAGTAGCAATAAGAAGGATATTTGGTCAGGATTGTCATCCCAAGATATCTTGGGATAGTTTGCAAAATATCCCACTATTTGGCAAAATATCCAGCTATTTGTCCCGTGCGTCTTCACTAGACCAAAGATTCGCTATTCGCGCTAACGCTGAGCAAAATATCTCAAGCTAATTTCTCAAGGTCGAGTTTCAAGTTTTGAGGTCGAATCTCGAGATAGTGAAGACGCGATTTGTTACTTCGGGATTATTTCCCAAATCAGAAATAGCGGGCTATTCGGCAGTCTCGAGATGATGAAGATGCGCCTAATAAGCTCATCTGAAAAATGCAATAAATAAACATCACATAACTCATTGGAAAAGCCCTACTAATCTCCTCTCTCTCTCTGTGGAATGATAGGAGGACTACCTTACAATCACCTGCATTGTCATCTTTAATCCTTATTAAGATGCTAAGAGCCTGTTTTTTCGACCTCATTTAATCCACAATAAATCGAAGCTTTTTATAGATGTTTCGAGCTCAAAGGACTCTCACTGATTGAGCAGAAAAGTCAATAATAAAATCAACTTCTTTTCAGGCATCACAAAGAACAAATGTTCCACTTGTCTGCTGATATTTGGTATGTGCAGAAGCTGGAAAAGCTTCCCCTTTTCATGTTTTCATAAGATGTTTACAAAAGAGGCTCTCTTTTTGGTTTGCTTGACAAGGCTATGTTTACCAGATTGACTTCATGTTTACACCAAAGTGTGCAACAGAGTTAAATGCCAGACATGGCGAGATGTGTTTTTTTTTCTTTAGAGGCCCCCCCCCCCCCTCCCCCCAAAAAGGAGAGAAAGTTAAGGAGATAATCATTCTTAGAAGCAGATGATGTTCTTGATACTTGTACAGAAAAGGCACATAAAAAATGTGATGGCCATGGCCAGAGGGCATGGTTTCTGCTCCTCTCTTCGATTGTGAAAAGGCATCCCCAATATATGCCTGGAATCCCCACCCCCCCCCCCCTGCAATAATGACAGATACATTACATACAGACACATTTGATGCAACAACAACAAATATTGGTGAGGACCAACCCCTCTTCCCCTCAATAAGAGGCTGTTCACACCGCAATGAGATAGCGCGGTCTATCGTAGCACCCCCTTTTTTCTAGCGTGCGCTAGACCGCGCTATCTCTCGTGGACCATCCCCCAAGAGGTGCTCCAGTGGCACGCCGTTTTGGCTCGCCGTGGCTCGCTGTTGGGCGGACCGAAACGACGTTGTACCTTCCAAACCGCAGAGATAGCGCGGTCTAGCGCGCTCTATCTCTGCCGGTGTGAACAGCCTCTAAGAGTTGCTTATCTTCTGTTCCTTAGAAAAGCCGTTCCTTAGAAAAGGCTTTCCTTGTAAATCTCTTTCAGTTTCTTAAAGTTAACCCAAGAATAAAGCACACATTGTCCACTTACCTTAAGTCATGCTCAGTCATGATGCATTTTCATGGCTTCATTTAAACCTCTTCCAAATCGGGCAATACCAGGATTTAATTAATCTACAAATAAATCCATTCACCCTTTCCACAATATGGGCCTTCTTTGAAGAAAGAAACAGACTATTCCCTTGTCCCCCCCCCCCCCCCCCCCGTATAAAAATTTAAAAAACATAACTGTACTTTTGTTTCTCAATTGTTGACATAAACTTGCATGAAGTCTAAACATTTTCTTCATTTACATGCTCAGATTTCCAAGTGCTTGTACTTTTATCCGATATCGTCTTCTTTTTTTTTCTTCAGGCCTATACAACCTCTCCATAAACTCCTGCAGATTCTACCTCATTCTCATAAATAATCCCTATACTATACAACCTGAAACTTTGAACTCATGATATTTTTACAAATTTTGCAAACGATTAAGATCGGCAAAAGTTTTGTGTCACGAAATTGGCACAACACTGATGTTTTTTCTTCTCCAATTTGTGATAGTTCCTTGCTTTGTGACTGCTATATAAATTAGCAAAACTGTAATGTTATGAGAGCTTGTGCTCTTACTGTATTCAAGAAAAAAGTAAAACAAATGTGCCTGACGGACAGACAGACGGACAGACAGACGGACTCACAAGTGTATTTCTAGACCAAAGTGTTGACCCTATTTAGTTGTCAACAATCACCACCATCTAAATTGAGCTTTCTCTATATATAGGGTTTAGGCCTATATGTGCATATTATTATTCCTGAGCCCTCATATGACATTGATGCCCCACTATCCTGCATAAATCTGTGTCCAACTGCATTAACATGCTTGCCTTGGCCCAATGTCAATATTTAGATGAGGGACGCCTGTCCACCCCCGGCCAGCCAGCCAAAAATAGGTAGAAGATTTACCATTTTGGGGCAAAGAGTTCCAATACTTCAGCTTTTGAAGGGCATGCGTGTGTTGGAAGTGCTAGAGTGACAGTGATTCAGTTGTTTAATCAAACTTTGATAAGTGTCACAGTTATTTTTGATGAGTGGACCACTCTCAAGTGTACCATATTATGATATTTTTATGAAATTCAGATGGGGCAATAGCTAAATGGCCCCTTTTACACATCCATACATGTAATGTAAAGTCACTAACTGGACATTGACCAAGATGTGGATAATTCATGTGCTTTGTAAAAAAAAATGTTATTGCCTATCATATAAATATAATTCTTACAAAGTGAAAAAGTAAGACACTGACATTGATAACGTTGTATCGATGACCGTAGAATATTTCACACTCACTAGAAATACACCAAAAAAAATCTGCTGAGATCCTGATGGAAACAGACTCACATCATTTTTTACTTAAGTATAATAATGCCCTTCTGGCACTTGGGACAGTACCGGTATCCATACGGCAAATATCAGAAGATAAATCTGAAGTAGGGGAAATGTATTGTGCACAAGAGATCAATTTACCTGTAGAACTAAAAGTGAAAATGCCTGAAGATTAAAGTGAACAGAATATCAAAGATTATTCTTACCTTATGAGAAAAGAATCCACTGTTCAATTAAATTCTCTGTTTGTATTCCTAGCAGCAGTCAATGGTTAATCTACATAAAATAGAATGAAAAAACAGAGAAGTGATATATCAATTTCCTTGACATACTGTACACAACAAAATTGAATAACAAAACAGAGATCATACAAATACCGTAAATCTCCGTGTATAAGGCGCACCTGTGTATAAGGCGCACCCCTATTTTTGAGATTTAAAAAAAAAATGATTTTTTTTTTTTTTTTTTTTTTTTTTTTTTTTTTTTTTTTCCTTTTGGATTTGCTTTCTTGCCGACACCAACTGAATCGGCTCTTATTTCAGCGTGCGGTTTCGTTCGGAAACCAAAGCCATGATGCAGGGAATTGGGAAGGACTTTTTATTTATAACGACTTTACAGTCAAAAAGTCAAAGTAAAAAAGAATAGTAACAATGTTGTTTTTAAAACTAAAGATGACAGCTAGTCCTCCCGAGTCCAAACCGAAATTTAGACAGGCTAGTTAAAGTTTTCGAGTGGTGATTCGATATCCCCAGTGTGAGTGAGCTGAATGATACAGGTGAGTGAGCTGGAGACAGGGGAGAGCTTCGGCCGGCAAAGTGCTTTGTGAAGGGGCATAATTTATCGAGACTGAAAAAAAAAAAAAAAAACTCTCTTCCCTTCAAATTAGGAACGTAGTTTAACTTCAAATAGTAGATCCTATTCTTTATTTGCATTATGTAATTCATGTTGAGACACAGAGATTTTCGGAAACCATTAAAAAGTTGCATTTTGAGAACTCAAAATATCCTGTACCTGTGTATACGGCGCACCCCCGACTTTTGATTTTTCCCGACGTAAAAAAAGTGCGCCTTATACACGGAGATTTACGGTACATTGGCTTTAGTACAAATAACAAGGAGCAAAAGACAACATTTTTTCTTGTTCAGATATAACTCAATATTATATTATAACGCCTCAAAAGAAAATGACCTGGCAACATAAAATACTTTAAAAAGAAAAGAAAAAAGTCATCAGACTTTAACAACATGGAAAAAAGAAGTTGTTATGATTTCCAAGTTCACAGATGTCCAGATTTTTCTTCCTGAACTTTACAAATAAGGTCATCCTTTTTTTTTCTTTTTTTTAAGAATCACCCTCAAGACAAACATGATGGGGGCGTCCCCCCCCCCCCCCCCCCCTCCTTTCCTTTCTAAATAATGATGCTTCTCAAGTTCACATCATGCTGTTCACATCACACATACATGTAGGACCTAGTCTGGAGGAACAGACTTTACTTTGACACTTTACCACAATTCCTAAAGCCTTGAGCAGAGCCTAGCTCCACCAGTCTCTAGCTGTATCAAATAAGCCAGAGCAGCAAAAGTACATACAGAGCCTTGGCAGTATGATGTCAGCCTAGTCTCAAAGTGCAGACACTGTTCGGCCCAGCGACTGATAAGGGTCTGTGCTACAAACTACATGTGCCCTGCTTTTCAGAGCAGGAAAAAAATCTGAAATGAACCACAATCTCAAGAAGTGTATCTAGCAGAGTAAACACTGGAGCAATTAAAATATTTCTAAGCTGAGGTTCATCTGATAAATAAGTGAAAAAGAGCCAGACTGTGTCAGTTTTCACAGGCCATTAGTTCAAATTGACATAGGCCTCTGCTTGAATGCTTCTCCATAATGGTTGAACAATATTTTCGATACAGTCAGTAACAATTCATGAAGGAAAATTAATTGCATATTGTTTACACAAGGCCAAAGAAATTGAAATGAACACACCTAAAATTGAAAATAACTTTTCTAATATAGAGAATAATAGCATGAATATAAAATATCCAACGATTAATTCAAAATAATGGTCCAAGCATATTTGTATAGGTATCACAAATCATTAATACATGTGCCTTATTTTTCACATATCAAGGTAACATCTCACAATATGTTTCCTAACAATAAGTTAGAAACTACCAAAGTTTGATCAGTATTTTTTCTTAAAATAAACCTGAAATATAAACATGTACATATGTACTGTGTGGCAAATTAAGAGCAGTTGCAAAACTTGTCCAGATTGATGTTACAACATGTTAACAAACCTTTATTCCAACATTTCATTTTCTTAATGGAACTACATATCAAGATCTGCTTGCAAACTAAATCATGTAACAAATAAAGAATTAAGGCAAAAAACACACAGTCCCTCCCAAGATACTGTAAATTGCTACTGAAGGAAATGGCAAAAGTCCATTTAGAATTATATGTATTTCATTCAATAAGCCAAAGCTTTTAATGAAAGTATTTCAATGACGGTTTATATTTGGTAAGACCCAGGAGATGTGATATTTAAAGAAAATGATATTGAAAACAATGCTTAGACTTTGGTTTCTGACAAATACAGTCAAAATAACTCAAAATCAGAATGATTTTTAAAGTATTTTAACAATGTTATAGTTGTATTGAGTAAATAAAAAATTTATATTTAAAACACACACACACACACAATACAAAAAGAAGAAAAAAAGCACCAAATAACAGTGACTATTACATTATTATATTATGGAAGTCAGAGGTCTGGTATCTAGACTAGAGAGTAGAGATGTTTCTTTGGGGAATTATTAGAATTAATCCTCATCCTTCTCTATCTCTGCATGTACTAGGATGAATTATTCATTATAATCTTCCTCTTTCATCTCTGCCAGTGCCAGTCGCAGGGTTTAACAATTATTCAGAATTTCAAAGAATAATAAGTTCTTTGACTGAATTCATTTCCTATGATAATTAACAGAAGTGTGCAGCATTGTGAAATTTTTCTCCTTTCAATACCAAAACAATTAAGAATTGTTCTTTTTTATTATGTAAACCTAAACTGTTCACACATACACGATGTAGCAATTAGCAAGTGTAAATCTGTATAAAGAGATGAAAGAGTTTGATCTTATCTCGAACTGGTCCCAATAACAATTTCTTTAGGAATTGTACTTATTGGTACCTTTAACTTTTCTTTTATTTTATCAAACTGCCCTGACATAGGGCGCGTTCATGCTTGATTTTGAAGGTAGAATGAGCGATCTGAAACGCTCATCGTAAACGCTCATCATGATCGCAGTTCCACGGTGCACTGTTCATGCTTACTTCTCTGGCTCATCCAGGCAATTCTCCTTGTGTGGCCTTAATTGGTCTTCCAGCTGGATTCGCAAACCTTCACTGTGCATGCTACGTAGACCAACTCAGGCACAGCGGAGCACCCCAATTTGCATATCATTAGCGGCCCGTTCTATTTGAATAACCAACGGACATCTGCGTGAATCCGAACATGTGTGTGCTAGAATGTCAAATCTTAAAATTCGCGTTGCGCCTTTATTACTGCCAATATCGCTATGAAACTTTCCATACTAACTAAAATTATTATGAATTTTATGTCAGTGAAATAAATACGAAATTCCATGGAATAAAACTCGAGATATTAATGTGTTTTGAGCTTCGCCCCTCGAAAAACACGACGTCTACTTTATAATGCGATGACCCTATCAAGCAATGCACGAAGTAGAGACTTGGTATGAATATTCATTAGGGTTAAATCCATACATGGGCGAAATTTTCGCTTCTCCGCTGTATTTTTTTTGGTTATAACGTTCTTTTTCATGGGGCTTCATTTTTAAAAGTTGTAGTCAGCGAACTCATTGAACATGACGTCATCGATCTCAGCGATGTACTGCGCATGCGTCTTAGGCCCAGTGCATGCCAGATCGAAACAGCTGAGCCATTAGCGTGCACGTGTGCAGTCGGCTGGCAAGACATGTATAGCCAACGCACACGCGAGGTTCAGACATGACACACATTTGAATGTATGGGACTGGTCAAACAATTTTGCGACAACGAAGGATTATTTTTGTTCGATGAGATTCGGACATTGGGGTATGTTTTTCTCTGAGACGACCCTATCAAGCAACTATGAAAAGAGATATTTCACAAGGATTGAGATTATTAAATTTTCTTTCTGTTCATACGAGGCAATTCTTTCTCGCTCTAAAAGAAATGGTGAATTTTACGGTGATTTTGTATCTCATTTTTTTCGTTTTTGTTCGTCAAAACTATCCCTTAAATTTCACATTTTCTGTGCATCAATAACTCCTTTTATACACATGAGTGTCTTGCAAATTTATTAAATACTCGATTTAGTAGCTTTGATTGGTGATATTCATCACATTAATGAAGAATTTGTCTTCGAAATTTGTTTACTTTTTTTCGCATCGATCGGTACACAATTGTTGATTTTATGCAAATGATGTTTACTGGACGAGAGTCGATCGCACGGTAATTGGGGTGCTCCGCTGTGCCTGAACTAGAGGTCAGAGCGTTGACCGCATTTAAACGCGTTTACAAATTGTAAACGCATCTTTTTGTGAGTTTACGATCGGCGATCATGATCGCCGTTTTTCGGTGATTCTACAAAAGTAAGCTAAGACGCAACCGTGTTTTAAACTAAACGCATAACAGATGCCTGATTCTGGCCAGAAAAAGTGAAGCATGAACACGCCCATAGTAGATCCGAATATTACCAAGACTTTTAAATCAAAAGATTTGAAATTACTGCTATGGGAGCTGTAAAATGGCTTTAAAAATCTATATTCAGATATGCAATCACTTCACAATATTCACTTGCAGATACTTTCAAGTTCATCGCAAAATTGCTTGTGTCATTACTTCCATTGATACATTTGTTTAACCATCTACATTTATCAGACTTGCTTGAAAATATTTGGGTATTTCAAATGGAAGCATACTTCCAAATATCTACTATCAAATTTATATATTTAAAAAATAAAAAATACATTTACATAAGATCAACAGTGAAACCATACTTCCAAATATCTACTATAAAATTTATATATTTAAAAAATAAAAAATACATTTACATAAGATCAACAGTGAAACCATTACGGCATTCCACTTGTACAATGTTTGGTTCAATGTCCATATACCAGATGCTTCTGTGAAAATAAAATTGTATAAAAAGCACTTTCTCTTCTTTTCCAATTTTGAGACCGATACATGCCTCTTAAGGCTGTTTACTC